TTATGTGATCCAAATGTTACAAGTAATCCAAACTCTATAAAGTTTAACAGGAAAAGAAAAAAAACATAAAATGAAGCATTTTTCTGGAAACTGATAAAACATGAGTACACACAAGGCCATACTGCATTTCGAGACAGCGATTTTCTTTCAAACTAAAAGAAAAGAGAAAAAAAACAATTTTTAGCAACACAACAAGCAGTCATTTTCAGGGAAAGAAAGTTATATCCAATCTGATCTGACTCTATTCAAGCCATTCATCAGTAAGGAGGAATCCATGCGAAAAGAAGATAAGGCTTTCAATCACAATAGGAAAAATACAGAGCTAAAAACAAAAGGAATTGGCAGTAAAAAGTAGAAATCATTCAAAGAAAAGAAAAGGAGGGTTACCAGAAGAGAAAGGCCTGTAAAAATTGAAACTAGGTTTAATAGAGATCCTTAAGTATGAAGCGGCCCTTGAACCCCAGAGCCTGGAAGCCATGGATGACTCTACTCAGATCTCAAACAGATCAAAGGATCGCTCTCTTCCTCTCAGTGGTTGGTGTTTCTAGGGTTTGTTTTTGCGTTGTGCGGAAGATGCCATGATGGTTGGCTCAATGTTCCAGCGGCAAATGGATTGCTGGTGGAGCAAGGGGGTTGGTGAATCTTTTCAGTTCCGTATTTTATACCCAATTTTGTGCTCTCCATACGAGAAGGAACTTTTGATAAATTCGTCAAATGATCCTAATCGTACTTACATTATTTTTAATTTTGGATGCGGTTTTTATTAAGGAAAAAATCCATTGGAAAATGTTTATATAAGGTTGCAACCTGAAAAATAAAAAATTAAAGATCTCAAAAATCCATCAGAAAAGTTTATTTTAATGCTCAAAACCCTCTAATCGATCATGTCGAGATGTATGAATAAAAAAAAAAATTGAGTCTTACGAATAGTGCATCGTGCAATACATTATCTAGACTGTTTATTTTCAAAATTTTCATATGTTTGGAAATCTACTTGATTTTAACCATTTTTGGAGTTTAAAAATTTATAATTAGATATCAAAACAGATTTTTAAATAATCCTAATAATTTTATACGCTAAAATTACATATTATGATAAAATTTGGAAGTGCATTTTAATTGAATTGTTTAAGGTTTCAACCTTATAGAAACCACACCCTTTGATAAGCTCGTATTGTTAACTTCAAATGAATAGGATGCAAGTACTACTTAGTTCGGGATGAAGTCTTGTACTCTATTCTCACAAGGGTATGACCCAAATCCCCATTGATTAAACATTTTTTGGAAAGAGGCTGGAGTCGTGATGGTAGCATCTCGACACTTTAATCGCCATGTTGTAGTTTCCATTCATATTGATACTACCCTATTAATACCTTCAAATAAACTATTAAACTATTTGAAAAAATAGACAATGGTATGTATTTCCCATTGAAATTACCAAAAGAAAAGAAAAACTTTACTTGCAGTTTCCATTAAGGCATAGGCTTTGTGAGACCGTTTACTATTGGTACAAAGATATCACAATTATTTATAACTATTTGCATTGTGAAGTTTGATAACTCAAGTGTCACAAAGTTCGAGAACATTTCTTTTGAACTTTTAAGCTTTGTTAATGGAATAAATATAATTACCTAATTTTACATCCAATGGTCAAGATTAATTGTGACCACCTTGTACCAAAGGTAAATGATCACATTATATAGTTTTCTATAAAGTAAAGCATTAGCTTGAATTCTCATCTAAAATGTCCAATACCAACTATAAAATTTGAAGCTAATAAAAAAAATGTATGCAATGAGACTGTTTACTATTGATACAGAGAGGTCAAAATCACCGTTGCCCGTTAGATTTAAAATTGAGTAGTTGAGAATGTGTTATTATTTAGATATACAGTCTAAAACAAAAATTTTCGAATGTTATGACACACTTTCATTAATGAGATTTCACATCCAATGGTTAAAAATAATTGTGACCACTTTGTATCAAAAATAAATGGCCTCATAAGATACAATCCCACTAAAAATTGTATAGATCTTATGGATCTATGAACTTTAGTTTAGGGCGAAATAGATGGTCTACTTAATATGTTAACACTATTTTTAAAGCTTAGCATCCTATTTTTCTTTGGCAGCCATGGTCAAGGCCCAGATAATGGATTTGGAAGTTTTAATATACCATGACTTTAATTTTTTATTAGTTTTGAGGTGAGGCTTAATTTATTTTGATAGGCTTACAACTAGGAGTGCCAATGATCTACGCCGGTCCTCAAGCTTCAGGCCGAGCTGGGTTCAAGCTTTGACGGGCCGATGCGCGGGCTTTCAGGTCGAAGTGCCAATGATCTAGGCCAGTCCTCAAGCTTCAGGCCGAGCTGGGTTCAAGCTATTAACGGGCCGATGTTTGGGCTTTCAGGTTGAGGTTTGGGCTTTCTAGCCGGGTCTAGGCTAGGCTGTTGCGGGCCATTCTAATTTTCGGGCGGGCTGGGCCGGGCCAAGCAGGCTCCTATCCGAGACGAAAGCCCGAACCCAGCCCTCTTAAACCCAGCCGAAACCCATACGCACACTCTCTCTGTCATTCAAATTTCCTTTGAATTTCTCTAAAGAATCTGGCACACCACAAAAAGAATCCTCACTAGGTTCCCTTGTCTCTCTCATCCAAATTTTCTCCGTCTCTCCTATCCAAATTCCCCAAATGTGTTTCTTTCAGTCTTGATCTGTTTCTGATCTTTGTTTAATGATCTTCATCGCTTTCCCCATTATGCTAATCTGCTTGGGGCCAGAGCCTCCATCTTCATTCTCTTATCAAAACTCCCCTAGTCTCTCTCTCTAAAGACCCATAGGAAACTTTTATTGCCTCCGTATACCCTTACAAGAAAAATACCCATTGAAATTCCTCTTGACCAAATTATCTCTTCGTTTTCTTTGGAGAAGCTACCTGGTTTCCAATCTGAGGTTGCTTAGTTTTCTTAGAGAGATGGTTGTCTTTTCTGTGCAACTATTTAGAGAATGTTTGAAGGAGAAGGCTAGAGAGAGAAGATGGAGACTTTTTGGGGGAGAGAGAGGTAGAGGTTAATGGCGAGAAGAGAGAAACGTAAGGTCTCACTACAGTTTGGTATCAAATTGATAGGAAAAAGAGAAAGGAAGGAGGTGGTGGGGGCTTACAATGGTTCGAGTGAATTAGGGTTTGCGGTAACAAGTTCTTTGTTACTGAATGAGATGAAATGGGAACCCTTCCATAGAGAGAGAAGGGGGGAGGGGCACCATATGCCCCCATCACTCTCCCTAACGCTTTTTTTAGATTTTAAAAAAGATGTTTTATTTGTTAGGGTTCAGTTTTTTAAATATATTTTATTACAAAAAGCTTTAGCATAATTTTCTATAGAATTTTTTTTTTTTTTGGGGTTACAAATGAAGTTAAAAAAAAAAAAAAAAAAGTTCAAATAGAGATCTTGAAAAAAGAGGGGAAGGGAGGCGGAGGGAGGTTATAGCAGGTAAGTGTCCTCTGTTTTGGGCCCAACTAATACCATGTGCTGACATAACATTAACCGGTGCTAATATAATGCACTCTGAGATTGATTTCCGAGATTGATTTCTTAGATTGAGCCGCCACTTGGCCAGGGCCATTGCTCTCTTGTTTACCGTCCCATTTTAGTCGAATTCTTTGAAGAAATTTAGGAGCTCTTCTTTAACAATGTCTCAAAATTCATGAAAGATTCGGAAACCATCAGGCCCAGGGCTAGACAATGAAGAAACCACTTCTAAGATTTCCTCCAAAAAGAATTCCTTCTTGAGTTCTACCTAGACATCTTGTTGAATACTTTGAATAGTAATATCATCAATATTGTTTGATCTCCTTCTAGAGGTATTTGTAGCATCAAAGTATTTCGTATTGTTATCTCTTCTTTTCATCCACTTGGAACGAGATCTCTAATACTTTTCCTCTGACTATAGAAGGTTCAGAGCCTCTCTAGAGTCTTTCTATTCGATAGAAAACCCCCCATATTGTTGTTCAGTTTTATTTAGAGGGATGATCTCACTATAACTGTTAGAAAGCCTTTGTGCAAGATCACCAAACTTCTCCTTCCCCCAGAGATTCAATGTGTTTTAGTATTTTCAATTTCTGGACAATGACAAAACCTTTCCATCCTTCTTCTGGAATGTGCTGCTAAACCGAAATCACCTCTCCCTCAATGACTTCCCTCCTAGCCACATTAACTCAAGCGAAAAGGTTATGGGCTGTAAGCCTCACCTTTAGTATATAGGAGAAACCGAATATGATCTCTGTCCATTGTGGTAAGGCTTTTACCATCGCCTTTTGGAACTTTGCCTCTCAGGGGGTGTAACCAGAAATCCATCAAGCTTTGACATCTAGGATGCGACTGTTGAATTGTTCGACTGGTTCCACTTATATTGAAATCTATTAACTCACTAGTGTGAATGAATTTATTAAAGTAAGTGGTTTAAAAGCGGATCGGTGATCCGAATCGAACATCTCAAAAATTCATCCGGATTGATGAATCGGCGATCCGAATCTGGAATCGGTTGAATCGGTGGGATTAAACCTTAAAAAAAATCCGAAAAAATTATTAAAATTCATTATAAATGTTGTTTTTTTAAGAATTCAATAAGAAATGAGGGTACTCCATTAAGAATTTTCATTTCTTTGCATGAATATGCGAATATTGATATGTTCTTCCCTTGCATGAACTACTATTTACCATTTAATTTACATCACACAAAAGGATAAATATAGAATTATCACTCTTTGGCAGTAATTATAAATAATTTTGTCCTTTTTGTTGGGATCAAGTCCCATGTTGCCATGCAGGGTATTCTGCAGATCTTGCGATGGTTCAACTTTAAAATGT